ATTTTATATAACAAAATCACTTTAAGCAGGTAATTAAAATAATAATGTTAATAGGTCAAATGACTAGAAATTATGAGAAATTGTCAATGGATACTAATGGTGAATATAGGGACCCAGTTATAACCAAACATTACCTTTTAGTAGGTAGAATAAAAAGTCAAAGAATACCATACTTAAGTACGGGACACAGCCTTCCCAAAGAGTGATAAAATTGATTGTAGGTAGACATATTAAGTCAATTAAGTACTGGACCTTCTGGACAAAGCTTTGCCAAAAAATAATTAAGTGTCAAAGTGACCAGAAACTTAAAATAATAAACATAAGAGATTCATAGAATCACAGTCATCTTTTTACCGTACATTGCTTTCATATTTCAATATTTCAATATTTGACATATTTTAATTTGTATTTGTGCACGTTATTGGCATATCATCATACGATCATCTTTCTACTGTGCTTTGCAGTGCGTCGGTGTAGCTTGCTGGGAGACGATGCGCACGCCACCTGGGACTATGACAAGCCCTACTTGCCTCCCTCTAATACCTGGGTGCACGTGCGTTGTAACGAGGGCTACAAAGTCCCGTTCAGTGGTAACGACGTCAGACACCAGTACAACTACTGCATCAACACTGGGATCGTGTTCAAATGGGAACCTACGATCTACAATTGCGAATGTACGAAAGCTATCTCATTCTCAGATTGATCAGGAAAATATAATGGGAACTCAAATTCAATATCGATACATATATAACGTATTTTCATAGTAATAATGTCGTTTTATTCGCTTTGTAGAAGGTGGCAAACGTGTGAAATCTTTATTGTTATGATGCTCTGGTAATTCTGATAAAATTTCATATAAACCCAACTCTAACTGCCAAATTATCAAGCCACAAAATGTTTGTTATTATCGTTTCTAATAGCAGCGTTTATTGCGGAATAATTTGTGAGAGAATAGTAATCGTGCATTTGCGTTCTCACTGCAGACGTCCATTGCGAGGCAGTAAACTTCCGGCAGCTGATGAACGTGATCACTTCATAGCCGACCATGAGACGCACTGGGGTACCTAGCTGGAGCTAGAGTGTACGAGTGGCTGGGAATTCTCCCTGAACGTGACTTCCCTCACTCTCACCTGCAGGGACCTTTCAATCAGATGGGACCCGCTCACAATGTCGTGTAACTGTACGTGTTGTCAGCATTGTGATCGCACGAGCGTGCATATGTTTGCTTCGTTGTTTTAGTATCTAATTGGAAGAAGTTCCGTCCAAATCCTACGTGCAACCATATACGCTGCCGACACCATTGCTCTCACGGCTCCACTGTTGCACGCTTACACTAATATATATAGTATATATAGTAGTATATATATACTGTATATAGTATACTATATATATTAGTGTAAGCGTGAAACAGTGGAGCCGCGAGCGCAATGGCGCCGGCAGCGTATATGGTTGCACGTAGGATTTGGACGGAATTGACAGGAAACTGTCGGCAATAATAGGTGAAAGTGAGTATAAAAACATTAAGAATTTGGTAGTAAATAGATTTCGTATTTAGTTAGCATTATATTTTATTAAATCTCTCCAAGTGCCTGTGGTTGCGCACGTAATGCGTAAACGTACATTTGTATGTCTAACGCCTGCAGCTGTAAAAAATATCTATATTTTCGTTGATTGGTTTCTCACTTGCACGTGGCTGGACACTAGTGTGTGCGTGCATGTGGGTGTGCGTGCGTACGTAGGTGTGTTTGAGTGCATGCGTGGTCCGTCGTGAATATGTAAGTGCGTGCGTGCGTGCGTGCGTGCGTGCGTGCGTGTGTGCGTAGTAGGTGTTTTTGAGTGCGTGCGTCGATATGTAAGTGTGTGTATGTGTGTGTGTGCATGCAAACGTGGGTGCGTGCGTGCGTGCGTGCGTATGCGTGGATATGTAAGTGTGCGTGTGCGTGCAAACGTACGTGCGTGCGTACGTGTGTGCGTATGTAGGTGTGTTTGAGTGCGTGCGTGGATATGTACGTGTGTGTGTGCGTGCAAACGTACATGCGTGCGTATATAGGTGTGTTTGAGTAAGTGCGTGGATATGTAAGTGTGTGTATGTGTGTGTGTGCATGCAAACGTACATGCGTGCGTGCGTGCGTGCATACGTAGGTGTGTTTGAGTGCGTGCATGGATATGTACGTGTGTGTGTGCAACACTGTGCGTGCGTGCGTACGTAGGTGTGTTTGAGTGAATGCGTGGCTATGTAAGTGTGTGTTTGTGTGCAAACGTACGTGCGTGCGTGCGTACGTAGGTGTGTTTGAGTGCGTGCGTGGATATGTAAGTGTGTGTATGTGTGTGTGTGTGTGTGCATGCAAACGTACGTACATGCGTGCGTGCGTGCGTGCGTGCGTGCGTGCGTGCGTGCGTGCGTACGTAGGTGTGTTTGAGTGAGTGCGTGGATATGTAAGTGTGTGTGTGCCTGCAAATGTACGTACATGCGTGCGTGCGTGCGTGCGTGCGTGCGTATATAGGTGGGTTTGAGTGAGTGTGTGGATATGTACGTGTGTGTGTGCCTGCAAACGTGTGGACAGTAAAAAGCAGGTAGACATTGAGCCTCTTCTTTTGAAATACCAATGCATTTACAGTGAAGCCATTGTTCACACTTGTAGCAGCATATCCTGTTGTACGATTTCTTGTGATCATTGCAGCATGAGCACATTTCTTTTTCTTCGGCTGTAGCTATAATTTTACAGCAGTCCATAACTTCTTCCAAAATTCTTTTTCTGAGCTGCATCACATCTGTGTCTGCCATCAGTGATCTGTTTTGTAGAAGTTGCGCGGCATAATGGCACACACAACTAGAAGAGTCCTCCTGGAATCTGTGTGGTGGGCATGTCAGTGTCCATTCCACCACATTTATCATCATTTTCTCTTTCAGGAAAGCTATCATCATGGAGAATGCCTGATTTGCTCGGGGAGAAGACGAGGCATCTGTGCTCTCCAGTGGATCCAAGTATAATATCAGTCGCTCCTGCATGGATATGGCCACCAGCATCCAGTGGTCACCAGTAGGATTCCATGGGTCCAGAATCACTGAAGCAGCACTGATGCTGCGGTCTGCCCAGAGCATTCCAGTTGGCTGACCCCTCGCTCGCGGACGTGCACAAGTGTTACTCGCTCTACGTACGACCACGCGTCGGACTACGCCGAGCTCACGTGCGACTCCAGTCTGCTCTACAAGATGCTCGTGTTCTTTAAGCCGGACTTTGCGCGCAAGTCGAAGATGCACAAGCGGCGCATCAACGCGCCGCGTGGAGTGCTCGGCGAGCTCAACCCGCGCCGCCACCTGCTCGTCTGCCGGCAGCTGACGTACGAGATCGCCGAGGCGTACGGCGAGACGCTCGACATCAAGATGGCGATCGTCGAGGAGCAGCAGACGACGCCGTCGCCGCACGCCGTCAGGAAGATCAACCTGCTCGGCGCCGAGTGCATTCGCAATTTCGAGTTGTTCCTCGACTCGTTTAAGACGGCGTACGGCGAGATGCTGGAACAGTTTGACAGCGATAATGTTCGTCCGGTGCTGATAGCTTACTTCTACATGGGCTGCATGCATTCAAATTTCATCGATTATTACGATGTTCACAAACAGATAGCGAGCATTCAGAAGAGCATTGACTGCTAGCAGTTATTAGTTAGACCAGTACCCAGACGTGGAAATGTCGAACAAGCAATTAACGCATGTNATTTCATCTTAATTGTATGTCGTTCACTTGCTTTAATACAGCTATAAATGTGATGAAGAGGACACACACATACTGACTGAGTTAAATTGTAAGTACCCTTTCGTGCGTTATAGCGTTATAGCGAGCGAGCGACAGAGAGAGAGTAGGAGAGAGAGCAGAGAGAGGGGGAAGCGAAGAGGGGGGGGCGGGAGATAGAGATAGAGATAGAGAGAGAGATAGAAGAGAAATAGAGCGAGGAATATACAGAGAGAGGAGAGAGAGGAGAAGAAGAGCAGATGAGACGACAGAGAGAGAGAGATAGAGACAGGAGAAACAGAGAGAGAGAGAGAGAGAGAGAGAGAGAGAGAGATACGATAGATAGAAAGAGAGGATAGAGAGCAAGAAGAGAAGAAAAGAGAAGAGCGAGGAGGTAAGAGAGAGATCACAAGAGCAGCGAGGTGCGAACCAGCGTCACAGGGAGAGAGAAGAGAGCAAGGGGGCGGGCTCAGATAAGATAGAATACACATGCAAGAGAGAGAGAGAGAGAGAGGAGAGAGAGAGAGAGCGGAGGAGAGAGAGAGAGAGAGAGAGAGAAGAGAAGGGGCTCAGATAAATAGATTAGACATGCAGAGAGATAGCGAGAGAGAGAGAAGAAAGGAGGGGGAGAGAGAGATGCAGAGAGAGCGACAGAGAGTGACAGACCAGATTTGACAGACAGAGAGAGAGAGAGGAGAGGAGAGAGAGAGAGAGGAAGAAAGAAGAGAGAGAGAGATAGAGAGAGAGGGAGACAGGAGCTGTGAGAGAGAGAGAGTGAGGGGAGGACGAGATAAGGAGAGAGAGAGAACGAGAGAAGAGGGAGATGGCCGAGAAGAGCAGGAGAACAGCGGGTGAGAGGAGGGCAGAAAGGAGAGAAAGAGAGAGGAAGGTAGAGAAAAAAAAGAGTAGGACAGAGAAGAGAGAGGAAGGCAGAGAGAGAAAAGAGCATAAAGCAGAGAAAAGAGAGGTATAACAGCTACGGAAACTTTAGTTGAGCAAGAATTCCTGTATATTTATTTACTCACGTTAGCTGTAATTATGATGAGCATTCAAAGTTGTCACAGCTCAAATCTTAGCCGCCCAAAACACAGTGAGAACATGGCGGGAACGCGTCGGACCACGCGTATACTGACCGTGATATATCTCGCGAAAGAGAAGCCCGTCACGGCGTGACGAAAGTCCAAGTGATTCATTTATATATGCGCGCTTATATGTTGAACATACTGGCAGGCTAACGAGATAATAAATGCTCGTTTTGTCTGATACACTATAACATACAATTCAATAAAGAATTAGGTTAGATATACGTTTTTAAACCCAAACTTGTTCGCGTCCGTGCTTCTCTCGCGCGCTCTCTCTCTCTCCCTCTCTGCCTTCCTCTCTCTCATCTCTGCGTTCCTCTCTCTCTCCTCTCTATCTTCCCCATTGTTGCAAGCCTTGTCTAAGAGAAGACTAATTAAGTAAAGAGAATTCCGACACGGTCTTCGTTATAGTTCCTCGTACTTTGAAGACTAACAGGTTACGCGGTTACGGAATGACAGAAACAAAAATGCTAAACTTGAAGGTTTCCTTTGAAGATGACATTCGTAAAGAAATAATAGCGCATAAATGATAAAGTAAACACACGTGTGGAGCAAAATACAACGTATTTCATCATGGCGACCTGGTTGACGCAGAAAAGGCACGTGATGTGAGTCTTGCCTAATGTATACAAATGACATTATGAGTTTATAATATCAAGACATAATGGGAGATAAATACTGTATGGAATTGTTGGCTTGAACGATCACGGGAATTTGAACGCGCTTGTTTATTTCTGTATCAGATTACATCAACGTCTTCTAACATCTGAGCCATAGACACAGTCGATACATTGATATCGTTCTCCAAGCGGTCACTGCAAATGACACGAAAGATCAGTAATAGAACACGATAAACAAGAGAAAAACACCGTAAAATTACCACCAAAGGCCAAATAAGGCACTCGCGGTCAGTAACAAATCAAACCGTTAGAATATTACAAGTTTCATACCTTTACTGGCAATATCAAGCCAAATCCTTTCAATTCAGCACAATTTCTACTCGCACAGTCGACTTCCAGCCAGAAATGCCACTAAGCGTCAGCAGAACAGTTCTAAACCAGTCTCAACTTAACATACGACAATCCGCAATTTTGATTGGGCAACAGAAAAGTAAGCCTCCTTGGAAAGAAGCCCGCCCCACATTCAGTGTCAGCGTTATCGTCACGTTCTTGTTTGACCCTGAAATCGGCAGCAGCGGCTACACGACCGCGCAGAAACGGTGCGCCCAACATTTCAGGTTCTCCACAAATACTCATTGGTTCCAAAATACATCGCTCTTTCGGTGGCGGCGCCACTATCCAATGACACTTGAAAATCACACTTGAAATGATACTTTTGTTAAAATCAAGGAGCTACATATAATTGTAGTCAGTCTAGCATGGAGTGACCTCCGGTTTATCTCGGCGGCGCCACCGTGTTGGTTGTTCTTGTTTGGTGCTACTCCATCAGCGAGACGTATTACCCACAGGCACTTGAAGCATATCAACAGTAAACACACGCCGCCGCCATCGCGCGTACACTGACACACATACACGCCAACCCTACCGCTTTACGCGGTAGACTACCGCTTTACGCGGTAGACTACCGCTTTTTGAAGACTTCTACCGCCTACCGCTTTTAATACTATTCCTACCGCATTGCAAAATATTTTGAAAAAACTTTTTCTTATTTTTTTTTTTTCATTTTATCTCTAATAAATGTATGTAATGTATCTCTAATGTATTCTATTGCAGTCCAATTACTCCCCAGAATGCAGGAGAAGGCACCATTTAGCACCATTTTTTGAAAATTTTCCTGGGGGGTGCAACTGCGTATCTGCATATCTGCGCCTAACAAAGGTGTCACTACGCACAACTTAAATGTTACGTTTATAACCGTAGCAACAGACCTCAGATGAGCCCAGACGCTCTGCGGCTCTTGTTTAGAAGTTGCGTGGCATAAAGGCACACACAACTATAAGAGTCCTCCTGGAATCTGTGTGGTGGGCATGTCAGTGTCCATTCTACCACATCTATCTTCATTTTCTCTTTCAGGAAAGCTATCGTCATGGAGATTGCCTGATTTGCTCGGTGAGAAGACGAGGCATCTGTGCTCTCCAGTGGAACCAAGTATAATATGAGTCGCTCCTTTGTGGATATGTCCACCAGCATCCAGTGGTCACCAGTAGGATTCCATGGGTCCAGAATCACAAGCAGTTCTGATGCTGCGGTCTGCCCAGAGCATTCCAGTTGGCTGACCCCTCGCTCGCGGACGTGCACAAGTGTTACTCGCTCTACGACCACGCGTCGGACTACGCCGAGCTCACGTGCGACTCCAGTCTGCTCTACAAGATGCTCGTGTTCTTTAAGCCGGACTTTGAGCGCAAGTTGAAGATGCACAAGCGGCGCGTCAACACGCTGCGGGGAGTGCTCGGCGAGCTCAACCCGCGGCGCCACCAGCTCGTCTGCCGGCAGCTGACGTACGAGATCGCCGAGACGTACGGCGAGACGCTCGACATCAAGATGGCGATCGTCAAGGAGCAGCAGACGACGCCGTCGCCGCGCGCCGTCAGGAAGATCAACCTGCTCAGCGTCGAGTGCATTCACAATTTCGAGTTGTTCCTCGACTCGTTTAAGACGGTGTACGGCGAGATGCTGGAACAGTTTGACAATGATAATGTTCGTCCGGTGCTGATAGCTTACTTCTACATGTGCTGCATGCATTCAAACTTCATCGATCATTTACGATGTTCACAAACAGATAGCGAGCATTCAGAAGAGCATTGACTGCTAGCAGTTATTAGTTAGACCAGTACGTACCCAGACGTGGAAATGTCGAACAAGCAATTAACGCATGTCGGTCAAGCAATTAACGCATGTCGAACAAGCAATTAACTCATGTCGAACAAGCAATCAACGCATGTCGAACAAACAATTAACGCATGTCGAACAAGCAATTAACGCATGTCGAACAAGCAATTAACTCATGTCGAACAAGCAATCAACGCATGTCGAACAAACAATTAACGCATGTCGAACAAGCAATTAACGCATGTCGAACAATCAATTAACGCATGTCGAACAAGCAATTAACGCATGTCGAACAAGCAATTAACGCAAGGCGAACAGGCAATTAAGGCATGTCGAAAAAATAATTAAGGCATGTCGAACAAGCACTTAACGCATGTCGAACAAGCAATTAACGCCTGTCGAACAAGTAATTAACGTATGTCGAACAAGCAATTAAC